TGGTCATGTTGTAAGAAGGGACCATTCCCTGGAGAAGGATGTCATGCTTGGTAGGGTGGAGGGTCGACAAAAGAGGGGGAGGCCTTCAACGAGATGAATTGATACGGTGGCTGCAATGATGGGCTCAAGTATAGCAGGGATTGTGGGGCTGGCGCGGGATCTGGCAGTGTTTCGTTCTGCTGTGCATGGGATCGCTATGAGTCGGAAAGGACTCGACGGCACTTAACAACAACAACAACATGAAGTTGTCAAGGTTTTCATTTACTTACATCTATAATCAACACTCATGGAAGCAGCAATTAAGAAATCAAACGACATATTGTATTGGCCAAATCTGTTGCAAAAGATTTCTTTAAAGTGTTGAAGAGCAAAGAAGTGATTTTGAAGACTAAGGTACGCCTGACCCAAACCATTGTCTTTTCAAAAAGTAGCCTCATATGCATGTGAAAGCTGCCCAATAAATAAGGAAGACCACAGAAGAATTGATGCATTTGAATTATGGTGTTGGTGAAGAATATTGAATATATCATGGACTGCTAGAAGAATGAACAAATCTGTCTTGGAAGAAGTAAAGCTGAATGCTCCTTAGAAGCAAGAATGGCCGGACTCTGCCACTTCAACATTGGTCATGTTATCAAGAGGGAAAAAGATATCTCTGGAGAAAGATATCATGCGCAATAAAGTAGAGGGTCAGCAAAATGGGGAAGACCTTCAACAAGATGGTTGACAAAGTGGCTGCAATGATGGGCTCAAATATAACAATGATTGTGAGGATGACAGAGGACCAGGCAGTGTTTCGGTCTGTTGTACATGGGGTCACTATGAGTCAAAATCGACTTGATGGCACCTAACAACATGGGCAAAATATTGAATGATACAGGAAGCATGAAAAGAAGATGAAAGGAATACACAGAGTCACTGTACCAAAAAGAATTGTTCAATACTCAACCATTTCAGGAGGTAGCATATGATCAAGACCAATGGTTTTGAAAGAAGTCTAAGCTGCAATGAAGGCAATGGTGAAAAACAAGCCTCCAGAAGTTGATGGAATATCTGCTGAGATGTTTCAATGAATGGATGCAACACTGGAAGCACTCAGTCATTTGCCAAGAAATTTGGAAGACAACTACCTGGCCATTCAACCAAAAGAGGTCCATATACCTGCCTATTCCAAAGACATGTGATCCAACAGACTGAAAATTATTGAACAATATCACATGTAAGTAAAATTAAGCTGAAGATAATTGAAAAACTGTTACAGCAGTACGACAGTAATTCAAGACACATTCAGGAAAAGACATGGAAGGAGGGATATCCTTGCTGATGTCAGATGGATCTTGGCTGAAAGTAAAGAATACCAGAAAGATATTTACTTGTGTTTTATTGACTATGTAAAGGCATTCAACTGTGTGGATCATAACAAATTATGGATAACATTGTGAAGAATGAAAATTCCAGAACACTTAATTGTGCTCATTAGGAACCTATACATAGATCAAGAGGCAGTTGTTTGTACAGAAGAAGGGGTAGTGCATGGTTTAAAATCAGGAGAGGTGTGCATCAGGGTTATACCCTTTCACCCTATTTATTCAATCTGTTGCTGAGCAAATTACCTGAGAAGCTGGACTATATGAAGAACAATGGTGCATCAGGATTGGAGGAAGACTCATTAACAACCTGTGATATGCAGATGACACAACTTTGCTTGCTGAAAGTGAAGGAGACTTGAAGCACTTACTGATGAACATCAAAGACTACAACTTTTAGTATTAACAAAAAAAATCCTCACAACTGTACCAGTAAAAATATCATGATAAACGGAGAAAAGATCAAAGTTGTCAAGGATTTCATTTTACTTGGATCCAGCATTAACACCCATAAAAGCAGTAGTCAAGAAATCAAATAACATTGCATTGGGCAAATCTGCAGAAAGACCTCTTGAATGTGTTAAAAAGCAAAGATGTCACTCTGAGGGCTAAGGTTGGCCTGACCCAAGCCATAGTATTTTCAAGCACCTCATTTGCATGTGAAAGCTGGACAATGACTAAGGAAGATAAAGAATAACTGATGTCTTTGAGTTATGGTGTGGATGAAGAATTTTGAATATATCATGGACTGCCAGAATGAACAAATCTGTCTTAGAAAAAATACAGTCAGAATGCTCCTTAGAAGCGAGGATGGCAAGACTTCATCTCCAGTACTTTGGGCATGTTATCAGGAGGGACCAGTCCCTGAAGAATGAAATTATTCTCAGTAAAGTAGAGGATCAGCAAAAAGGAAGACCCTCAACAAGATGGATTGGCTCAGTGACTGCAACAATGGGATCAAACATAGCAACGATTGTGAGGATGGTGCAGGACTAGGCAGTGTTTGTTCTGTTGTACGCAGGGTTGTTATGAGTGGGAACCACTCAATAGTACCAAACAACAACAGCTCTATAGCAGCACAGCACTGTCCAATAGAAATATAATAGGAGCCCCAAGCATAATTATAACTTTTCTGACAGCCACACTAAAAATGTAAAAGAAATACAAGTGAAATTAAATTTAAGAATATATTTTAACCCAATATGTCCAAAATACTATCATTCAACATATGCTCAGTATAAAAATTATTAATGAGATGTTTTACCTTCTTTTTTTATATTGTCTACAAAATCCTATGCATATTTTACACCTACACCATATCTCAATTTAGACTAGCCACAGTTCAGCTGTTCAATAGCCACATGTGGTTAGTGGCTACCATTCTGGGCAAGGCAACACTATGATTCAGCTGTTACCTATGAGAATAACAAGTTGGAGGTCAAATGGGCAGAAAGTGGTAATAATCTGTATTTCCAGATAATAACTTGAATGTCCCTGTCCATAGCCCTGAACTATTTTAGAAAACAAGCTTTACAGGCTAGCAATATCACAGAAGTGTAGGGACCAAGAAACTTTCTTCATTAGTGCAAAAAAGTAATTCTTTAATTATCCTTAGAGTTCTTGGATCCCATGAGTTTGTACCACCAAACAAAGAAATGAGTTTTTAGTGTAGCGTGAGATGACGAGAAAGGCACCAGGGCCAGGATTCCATGTGTGAATATAGGACCAGGTTGTTTCTGCAGATCTATTCTCCAAGGAAGGGTTCAGAAAGTTCATACCTGAAGTTCCCAGCTAGGCTCCCAGGCTCTGTCTCTGGCTTGATGTTTGCAGACTTAATGGTGTGCGTGTGTGTCTGTATGTGTACTAGGGCAGGGGCAGGTTACTGTGTGATGACTCATAGTGTAGGTAGCCAGTCATAAATGGAGATGCTTCTCTGGGGATAGCTACCTCTCTGAAAATGTTGGGGATGTGTTCACATTACAAACTCACATTGCTTTGTACTTTGCAGGTACTATGGATTATCTGTTTGGTTCCCTGATGTAATTAAACATCTGCAGTCGGATGAATATGCATCACAAGTTAGAAGAGTGGAGAGAGAGAAATATGCGAATTTCAGTATTAACTTTACAATGGAAAATCAGATTCACACCGGTGTGGAATACGACAATGGCAGGTCTAGAAACTTTGAAATAACTTAATTTGCTTCCTATTCACAAAAATGTAGTGTTATTTCTCACTAGCCTTCACTGAACTGAAATGTGAAGATTTTTTAGTTTGTACATTTAGTCATTTTCAGGCTGAATTTGAATACTGCCAAAGGGACTTCAAAGAAAAGATACAGGTATTTTAGTTGCTTCACTTAAAATTACTTCTGAAGCTGAACTTCTTCATATTGTTAAGTAAAGGAGTTGATCTGTATGAAAAGAACTTTTAGAGAAAACCTGGAGAGAAACAAAAAATACAGTAAAGAAGAATAAAGAAGATGAGGAAATAAAATGGTCTATGCCCGTACCAAGAGCCCTGGTGGTACAGCGGTTAAAGCATGTGGCTGCCAACCAAAGGTCAAGGTTCGATCCTACCAGCTGCTCTGTGGGAGAAAGATGAGGCCTTGGAAACCCTATGGGACAGTTCTACTCCATCCTAGAGGGTCGCTGTGAGTTGGAAGCAATTAGACGGCAGTGAGTTTATTGGATTTTATACCAGTACTAGTTGCCGTCCAGTAGACTCTAACTCATGGTGACCCCAAGTGTGTCATAGTAGAGTTGTGCTGCATAGGGTTCTCAATAAAAGATTTTTCAGAAGTAGGTTGTCAGGCATTTTCTTTTGAGGTAGACTGAAACCTCTAACTTTTTGGTTAGCAGCTGAATGCATTAACTATTTGCACCACCTAGGGACTCCATTAAAAATTATTTAATTTTGGGGAAATCTATGTAGGAGATCCTGGATAGAGTGGGAGAACAATGTGGAACAAAACTCAAAATCAGAAAAAAAAAAAAAAAGGGACCAGGTTTGCTGGTCTGATAGAGCCTGGTGAAACCCCTGAGACTGTGGCCCCTAGCTGCCCTTCAGGTCTGGAATGGTACCCACTCCTGTGGCTTCCAACCAAACAAAAGACAGGCTGAACATTTCATTAGCTAGATACACTCCTTGGAGAGATCAATCATGAGAAATAGAAGGTCTGTGTATGCACAGGGAGACAGCTCGGGGGGCAGGAGTGCCTGGGAGGGAAGGACACAGGGAGAGGAAGTGGAAAGAGAGCTGTTGCATTGTGGGAAATTGCAGTCAATGTCATGAGACAGTGTATGTGAACTGCTGTATGGAAAGTGAATTTGCTCTGTAAACTCACTCAAATTACAATAAAAATTTAAAATAATAATAATTTCATTTTCATAGAAATGACATTCAAGTCAGGGCCATTAACTGCAAGTAGAGAATTTTCAGTTATAGATATATGTGAAGGAACAAGAGAATAATATTGAAAAATAAAGAATTAATAGCCACAAGTAATCACCAAATTCTCTACTTGCAATCACATACCCCACAAAGCCTTTGACCAAAATTGCAAAACCTAAATGGCATTATCATGAGTTTCATCTCTTCTTCTGATGGAAAATGATGTTGTTGAGCAATGAGACAGTCAAAGGACCAGTTGCATGAAGTAAAGGGAGAAAGCAAAGACCCTAGAAAATGAAGAAACCTGTGCTCTTATAATTAAGGGACTCGCTAGTGGGACATTGCATCTCTTACCTCTTTGACTTAACTTTGTACCTTGATGGACGTAAATCATTGATATGATTTTTCTTTTTTTGGTATTTGTCAGATTCCTGGGGGTCAAGTTCAAATCCGTAACTTTCAAAGATTCCATTTTTAAGGGCTGTACCTTTGAGGATGTGACTTCACTCAACACCTACTTCAAGAACTGTACATTTATTTATACTGTTTTTGACAACACAGGTAAGTATGCTCTTCAGCTCTCTTTCCACCCAGGGCCTCTTCCAAAGGTCCCAGCTCATGGCAGAAACATGGTACCTATGTGAGGGTTTGGGCAGAGACTTTTGTGGGAAATGGAGATTAAAGGGCCGATGAACAGGTTCCCTAAATCAGATTGGCTCAAAGTTAAACTTGTATGGTTTCTCAGATTTAATGCAAGTGGGACTTGCCAATGTTTGAAGTTGAAAAAAATACCCTTTGATGAATATTCTTTAGAGCAAAGAATTAACCTGTATTTATTTTGATAATCCTGTTTCCAAAATCTGGTACGGGTAGTCCTAGACTTATGATGGGGTTCTGTTCTGACAATTCCATTTCAAGACAGTTCTAACATAGGTTGAATACTTTTTTTTTTTTTTTTCATGTTCATTGTTGTTGCTTTTTATTACCAGTGAAGGAACTCTGGTAGTGCAGTGGTTAAAGCATTTGACTGTTAACGAAAAGTTTGGTAATTTGAACCCACCAGCCAGTCTAGGGGAGAAAGATGAGGCAGTTGGCTTCCATAAAGAATTACAACCTTGGCAAACCTATGGGGCAGTTCTACTCTTTTCTAAAGGGTCACTATGAGACATCATCAACTCAATGGCAGTGGATTTATCTTTATAAATTGATCTTGTCTGTGGGAGTTGGAAATGTTACATAAAACCTTACAGATATGATGACATCAGAAAATTATGTGCTGCAACATTATATGTATTACTTGTTACTACTGATAAGATGTACCCCCCCCAAAAAAAAACAAAAGTGCAATTTGTCACAAGTCAAACACATTATAAGTCAAGACTATCTGTATTTGCCTAAGTGGGGACACCTGGACTCTGTAGTCCACAGAAATGGACAAAACATGGTTATCCTCAATCAGATACAATTTTTTAGCCAGTCTATTTAACGGAGTCTAGAAAACTCCCTAGGGAAGAAAAGAAGGGGAAACATAGATTAAGCATCTACTGTATGCCAGTTCCTACTCTAGGTCATTAGACTTGCATGAGCACATTGAGTTTTCACAATAGCTGGGACTTATAGAATTGAGTTATTTGGTCACAGTCATAGAATTGGTAACAGAACTGGCATTTGAATCAGGTGTATCTGATGTCAAAGCCCATGCTTTACCTATCCCCACACATTAGTATGTCTGTCCAAGAATATGAGTCCAGAATAACAGCCCAACACTGGCAGGAGTATCAACACCTACCCTGTTGTCAGCCCTGCCTTCATGATGCTCAGAGAGGACCAGCTCTGCCCATCTCCAAATGACATTGGGTTTGGGTGTTTTTATTTGGTTTGGTTTGGTTTTGAAACAGTGCTGTCTAACCTACTCAAATACAGAAGACCTGCTTTGGGGCAGAATTTATCAGCAAAAAAGATGAGATAACAGTTTTGATTGATTTTCAAAGTTCTGCTAGAACCACTACCATCTGCAGCCCCTTGGTGGATAAATCCTTGTTCGTGATAAAATCAGCAGTGTATGCCAGTGGTCTTAAAATGAGGTTCTTGTTCTTCAGTGGATTCATCCACATAGCCCTTAAATTATAAGCTTCAGCTTCAAAGACCCAAAGAAAGTCACATTCCTTTTCTGTACCTCAGAGTCCCATAAAATGGCAATAAGACTAATTCACTGCACATTTTAAAACAAATTGTTTTTATAATTGTCGTATGGAAGCTATTAGTACTATAATGATAAACCAAAAACCAAACCAAAGTGACTGCCATCAAATCGGTGCCAACTCATACTGACCCCTCTTTGGGTTTCTGAAGCGGTATTTCTAAAGAAGTAGATTGCCTAGTCTTCCTACCGAGAAGTGGGCTGGTGGGTTGGAACCACCAGCCTTCTGGTTATCAGTCAAATGCCTTATGCACTACACCACCAGAGCTTATATGATAATTAGAACAAAATAACATTGTAAAAGAGTAAGCAAGTAATAAAATTAGCAATGACCAACCACAGGAAATCAAAAGATAACTGGACTTTCAAATGTAGTTTATTTCTTTATTCAACAAAGCTATTCATTCCTTCCTTCAGCTGCTTTGTAAGTGTGAGGTCCTACTTGACCTTGTGCTTTGACCAGGAGAAGACACAAAAAGTCAAACCAACCCAGGCCCTGAGCCCTCAAGGAGTTTATAGTACCATAATTATTTTCTGAATTCTCAACAGGCTTGTATACATGGGTGCACACCTGTTAAGAGTTTGATAATTGTCTTTGTTTCCATAGATTTTGAGTCATATAAATTCATTAACAGTGAACTTCAAAACTGTTCGTTTTACCACAACAAGACGGGGTGCCAGATCACCTTTGATGATGACTATAGTGCCTACTGGATTTATTTTGTCAACTTCCTGGGAACGCTGGCAGTGTTGCCAGGGAATATCGTGTCTGCTCTCCTAATGGACAGGATTGGGCGTTTAACGATGCTAGGTATGTGCTTGCTTTTAGGTAAAATAAAAGAGCTGCTCCTGCAATCCAGAGAGAACCAAGTTCCCACCAATCCCTGCTTCCCACCTTGAGAATTTGCATCTCAAAAGGATGAGGAGAAATCCCTTAAGACCTTTCATTAGAACTAAATTTTAGTGAAAATTATGTCTAATTACATTTGAGCTGCTTCAATGAATTAACACACTGAAAAACTAATTATGTGTGACTAACATATATTTTTCCACTTAAACAGCTGAATAATTGATGATTGCATTTCATACTTGGCTGTGTTCAGAAGGCAGTTAGAGATGTGAGCCTTTCATACAGGTGAATGCACCTATGCCCGTGTTTTATGAGCCTGCAGCTCCCCTTCAAAGTGGCTTAGCCTCAGAATTCAATTTTGCTTAGAGATCTGAAAGAACCAAGAACTCTCACTCTATTATAATGACGGGACACATGCCAGCATATTATCTGCTTCGTTGACAGGTGGCTCTATGGTGCTTTCGGGGATCAGCTGTTTCTTCCTTTGGTTCGGCACCAGTGAGTCCATGATGATAGGCATGTTGTGTCTATATAATGGATTGACCATCTCGGCCTGGAACTCTCTTGATGTGGTCACGGTGGAACTGTACCCCACAGACCGGAGGTATGTTGAAATGGGCATCCAGGAAGCATCTGAGCCCCACAGAATCACTGAAAATTTGTAGAAGTTAAATCAAACTATCACTTCCCCAAGATGAAGTGGCTTATAAAATTTTGGGTCCGCTAATACCTATTTTTAAAAGAAATAAAGAAGATACAGAGGAATATATCCACTAATATCTTTTTTAAAAAAGAAAGAAAGAGAATGTAGAGGAATGTAGTTGGTACCAGGAATTAATAGGACAGTGAAACCAGTGAAGAAGTTGAATTATGTACATGATGTAGTTTGGTGGCTAACAGGGAGGAAGCTGTAATGAAGCACGAGGATTAGGATTTAATAGCCAACATTGGCCCACTTTTGGTGGCATAGTGTCTAAGGCATTTGACTGCTAACCAGAAGGCTGGCAGCTCAGACCCACCAGCCCCTCCTCAAAAGGAAGGTTGGGCAATCTACTTCCATAGTGATACTGCCTCGGAAACCCAAGAAGGGGTTGCTATGAGTTGGATCTGACTCGACAGCAGTGAGTTTGGTTTGGTTTGAAATCAGTCTTGAGAGAGTTGTTACCTTAAGTTTTCAGGTGTCTCCATGAGCTCTGCATTGCCTCTAGAACATATCTCTTGACCTTCCTAGTCTGTTGGAGGAAAGTAATATTTCCAGTTATCTAAAAACCATTGGTATTAGAGGAAAATTACTCATTTGATCCCAAAACAGAGACTTGGAAATTTTGTGCTTCATACCAGAGAAAGGGCTAGAAGGTACGGATTTGGGGTAGAGCTTCACTACCACCACAGCCAACTGCCATTGAGTTATTCCAACTTGTAGCAACCCTATAGGACAGAGTAGAACTTCCTCATTGGGTTTCCAAGGCTATAAACCTTTATGGAAGCATATTGTCTCATCTTTCTCCCATGGAGTGGCTGGGCTGGTGGGATTGAACTGCCAATCTGTCAGTCTTTGGGTTAGCAGTACAATGCTTTAACCACTACACCACCAGAGCTCCTGGGTAGAACTCAGCTGCTGAATAATTAAGTTAAAAAAATGAAAACCCTGTCCTGGTGTTTGACATGAACTAAGACAAATGGCCTTTGTCTTCTATTTCATGTATGACTCTTATGCTTTGTCTCCATGGAAACCTTCTGTGTTTCAGTATGGAGTCAGTATTTTCTGGACTTTGATTAGTTGCATACAAAAAGAGGAGGAGGTTTTTCCTAGGATTATGCTGAGACATTTGGGATATCAGTTTGCAACTTTTCCGTCATGGCTCCCTTCTCTGGGCTCATTCTTTTTGTTTATTGGCACCAATAGGGTATGTTTCCAATATGTCCAAACTCTAGCTTACAATTCTTGTTCAGGTACATCTCATTAAAGAGCATCTCATTACTCTCTGTAGAGGTACTCCTCCCTGCACAACATCTTGAACTCAACAACCCTTAACATCTGTTTATCAAATATTCTCATCCCAACCATCAGTTAGCCTCCTATTAAAATAGTTAGTCTCTGAAAGGAACTGTATAATGTTTTTGTGACCTCTTTTTCATGTATTCATTCAACAAATATATTTATTAATTCTCTATATTGGAGGGCAAGGTCCTCAGGTAGATATTATGAGTCTTGGAATGAGGATGTTAACAAAAGCAAGAATAAAACTCTTTGCAGCTTTCATTGAGCTTTCTTTCATTAACTTCTCATTCTGCAAGCATGTAGATTAAACTATACATTTAACATAAATCTCTCTGTGTTAAAGCAAGACTATGTCATAGACTCCTTTTTGTTTTTCACTGTAAAACTTTGATGCTATTTTTTAGATGAATCAACTGCTTATTCCTTTGCCATAGGATAGAAGGATGAATATTCTCCAAAAGCAAATGCCTGGCTTTGAAAACAAACAAACTAAACTTATGAATTGGGTGGATCCCTGCTATGAACAACATAGGCCTGCTGTTTTTATTGTTGGAAAGTTATTGTTGGAAAGGGTGAAAACAGATGTGGTAAAAAACATGTGCAACTGTTCACTACAGATTAGTAACTAAGCACAAGTAAGCCCACGCTTACCTTGCTTACTGGGTACTCCATCCCTGTCAGGGACTATAAATTTGAAAAGAGGCTTTGGTCCTGTAGGAAGGTGCTGTGAGTTTCGGAGAGCAGCAGATGCCAGTCATACCTAGAAGCAGGATCTTTGGTGTAGTGAAAAATGTGAATTGTTCACTGCAGATTAGTTAGTAAGCAAAAGTAAGCCTGTGCTTACCTTACTTATGGGATAATCCAACACTGAGACCAACAGAAGGTGAGAGGAAGGGAAGGTTGGGTAGAACACAGCAAGAATTCTGGTTAAAACCCCAATTTTCATCATAGAATTTTAGCACTGCCATCCTCCTGCCTAGTTTTTAGACTAGTAATCTGTTCTTACCCATTCCTGTCAAGTCAATTCCAACTCACAGTGACCCTATAAGATTTCCAATACTATAAATCTTTATGGAAGCAGACTGCTACATCTTCCTCACACAGAACGGCTGGTGAGTTTGAACCACCAACATTTTGGTTTCCAGCAGAGCCCTTTAACCACTGCACCACCAGGCTCCTTCATGATCTGTCCTTAATGATCAAAATAGGAACTCTGATTCTAAACCTAAGCTTAAAAAGTAGTGTCTTCAAGTAGTGACTGGGATCATATAAGCTTACAAGCAGCCAGCTAGATGCAACGATGGGTCTCTCCTCTTCCAGAGCAAAGAAGAATGAAGAAAACCAAAGACTTATGGAAACAGTTAGTCCTAGTGACTGGCACACCATGTGATCTGCAGCCTATATGACCATGAGACCAGAAGGACTAGATGGTGCCCAGCTACCACTGTCAACCACTCAGAGGGGGATCTATGTAGGAGATCCTGGATAGAGAGGGAGGACAATGTGGAACAAAACTCAAAATCATTTGGGAAAAAAAAGGGGGGAGGGGGGACCAGTTTTGCTGTTCTGATAGAACCTGGTGGAACCCCTGAGACTACGGCCTCTAGCTGCCATTCAGATCTGGAATTGAACCCACACCTGTGGCTTCCAGCCAAACAAAAGATAGGCATTTGAGTTGAACATTTACCTGAGGTAGATACACTCCTTGGAGAGATCAATCATGGGAGAAAGAAGGGCTGCTTATGCACAGGGAGACAGTTCAGGGGGCAGGAGTGCATGGAGGGATGG